ACAATCTCTCTAAAGTAGAGGCTAGCGACCTTAGAGGCGTAAGAAGTTTTTGAACATGGCATGAAGTGTGCCATCTTTGAAATCCTATCGACAAGCACCATAATTGAGTCATGTCATCGTGTAGTGCACGGGAGTCCCAAAACAAAGTCCATGTTGATGTCGTCCCATGGGCGGGTCAGCACTGGAAGTGGCATGTAGAGTCTAGCATTCTTCTTTACCTACTTAGCAAGTGTGCACTGATAAGTCTTCATTATCATGAGTTAATAATTAGTAAATAATATAATTTTAGTCTTAACTCATGATAAATAGACTTATATTTGTGTTAAAGAATGATTTTTGGTTTTCAATTGATTAACGTGAATTTTTGGGTAATTATGTGATTTTATACGACTTTTACAATCTTACCTTTGAGATAAATGAAGAACAAGAAATAAAAATAAAAAATATTGCAAAATGAGGGGGACCCGTCAGCCAGCCGGGCCCGTGAGCGGGTCAGAAGCGTAGTCGGAAAGTAGCCGCAAGCAGTGGCTCGAGCGGCTTAGCTTGGACTGATAGGGGCACGTGTGCGCCACTCCCCTTCCACATCACTGGTGGCTAGTCAGTTGTGGGGCAAGGAGTGGTCGTATATGCGAGAGAAGGGACTTTGCTTGCAAAGTTAATATTACTATATATTCGTCTGAAAAATTGGCGCACAACCGATGTGAGACTAAACCCGCGTCACACCTTCTTCACAGGCGGGCGACCGGCGCGGGTTCAAATCCTTCTAGAGTCAAAATTCATATATTTTTATTTGATTATTGTGACTTTCCTGTAGATCGCTAGTGAAGGATTAAGCAACGAGAATTACTAGATCATCGGCAAAAATCTCGTCAACACGATTCGCGGAGCATTGCTACTAAAATTGCTAAACGATTTGCGATAAAAGGATCGCGAATCCATCGAGTAAATCATCTCTGATTGATTGACGAACAAGCCGTCGTCGGGAAGAGGACGATCCGCTGGGAGACTAGTCACCACCTCTTGAGAACATACCAGATGCGATGAAGAGCCTCCTCTTGCTGCGCGGACCTGAGGATGAAGCTCCCTAACACACGCCCCACCTCCATCTAGCTCCTCTTTGTCGGGTGACAGCTGCCAGAGAGTTGCAAAGTCGCCGTTTTTCCACTCTACTAAGTGACAACTGACGTGACTTAGTCGTTGTATATTAAATCATGCAAATATAAAATTTATAAAACTAGAAAATATGAATTTTCAGATATTTAGAAGTATTTCAAAATAAATATATCAATTATAATTCAAAAAAATTCTAAAAATAGCGGTAATTTTCCAGGTCGATCACAGGGATGTAATATAATATCTGGTAATTATTTAGAATTTTTCTCAACGAATACGGTTTTCTTACAAATTTTATACTAGGAAATAAAAAGGAAATATATTTAAAATTCACGAAAAAAAAGGAAATAAGGGTGCGGGCGTCATGATGACGTCAGCACCCGACAAACGCGAATCAGGCAAAAATAGAGTTCCGCCCGGCGATTCTTACGTAAGCAATTACAGACGACTTAATTAATCAAATTAAGATCTGTAAAAGTCAGAAGAATCGTAATTGAACGAAGTATAGTTTGGTAAATTAAAATCACACAAAGTATCACTAAATGAAGCGTAAATTAAATTGAAAGCAGAAAAACAAAGTTTTGGCATCGCGACGGCGATGCGTCGGCGATGCACCGGAATCCTGAGCGTTCGGGAGGATCGTCGTGTAGTGTCCACAGCATCGAAGGCTCTCCTTGGACAAAGACGACGTGGGCAATCTCTAGATCTTCTCACGAAGTCTAGAGATCAATGAAGTGGGTCGTCGAATCGTCTCTGGCGGCTGTCACCCGGTGGAGTGGAAAAATGGCGACTTTGCGGCTCTCCGGCGGTTGTCACCTGACGGAGAGGAGCTGGATGGAGGTGGGGCGCGTGTTAGGGAGCTTCATCCTCAGGTCCGCGCAGCAAGAGGAGGCTCTTCATCGCATCTGGTACGCTCTTAGGAGGTGGCGACTGGTCTCCCGGCGGATCGTCCTCTTCCCGACGACGGCTTGTTCGTCGATCAATCGGAGATGATTTACTCGATGGATTCGCGATCCTTTTATCGCGAATCATTTAACAATTTTAGTAGCAATGCTCCGCGAATCGCGTTGACGAGATTTTTGCCGATGATCCGGCGATTCTCGTTGCTTAATCCTTCACCGGTGATCTGCAAGAAAGTCGCGATAATCAGATAAAAATATATAAATTTTGACTCTAGGAGGATTCGAACCCGCGCCAGTTGCCCGCCTCTTTTGAGGAAGGTGTGACAAGGGTTTAGTCCCACATCGGTTGTACGCCGATTTTTCGGGCGAATATATAGTAATGTTAGCTTTTTGAGCAAAGTCCCTTCTCTCGCATGTATGACCACTCCTTGCCCCACAATCGGCTGGCCACCGGTGACGTAGAAGGGGAGTGGTGTACGCGTGCCCTGTCGGTCCCCAAGCCAAGCTGCTCGAGCCCCTGCTCGCAGCTTACTCCCTGACTGCACTTTTGACCCACTTGCGGGCCCAGCTGGCCAGTGGGACCCCCCATTTTTGCAATATTTTTATTTTTATTTCTTGTTCTTCATTTATCTCAAAAGTAAGATTGTAAAAATCGTATAAAATCACATAATTACCCAAAAATTCACGTTAATCAATTGAAAACCAAAAATCATTCTTTAACACAAATATAAGTCTATTTATCATGAGTTAAGGCTAAAACTATATTGTTTACTAATTATTAACTCATGATAATGAAAACTTATCAACAGCCACCGAAGACGATTCGACAACCCATTTCATTAATCTCTAGACTTCGCGAGAAGATCTAGAGATTATCCACGTCGTCTTTGTCCAAAGAGAGCCTTCGAGGTTGTGGACACTATGCGACGATCTTCCCGAACGCTCAGGATTCTAGTGCATCGCCGACGCATCGTCGTCACGATGCCGGAACTCTGTTTTCCTACTTTTAATTTAATTTATGCTTCATTTAGTGATACTTTGTGTGATTTTAATTTATCAAACTATACTTCGTTCAATTACGATTCTTCTGACTTTTACAGATCTTAATTTGATTAATTAAATCGTCTATAGTCGCTTATGTAAGAATTGCCGAGTGGAACTCTATTTCCACCCGATTCGCGTTCGCTGGGCACTGACGTCATCCTGACGTCCGCACCCTTATTTTCTTTTTTTGTAAATTTTAAATATATTTTCTTTTTATTTCCTAGTATAAAATTCATAGAAACTTGTATTCATTGAGAAAAATTCTGAATAATTACTAGATATTATATTACATCCTTGTGATCGACTTGGAAAATTAGTACTTTTTGTGGAATTTTTATTGAATTATAATTGATATATTTATTTAGAAATACTTCTAAATATCTAAAATTTCATATTTTCTAATTTTATTAATTTTATATTTGCGTGATTTAATATACAACGACTGAGTCACGTCATGCACACTCGACACTAAGCGACAATGTTCTCTACATTGCGCTTGAAGGTCAGCTAGTAGAACTAGTACTCGACTGCTGTAATGGTCTTATCGCAACCGAAATTACCAAATAGACCTCTTGCGTGACATTCCCAAGTGAAGAAGTCACGAAGGGATGTGTGTGAAATGCATAGTCTGCTCCTAAAGAATAGACATCCGTTGACCACAAGGAAGTCCTTATGATCTCAAGATGGACCATCTGAAAGTGCTTGTAGAACGTGGCCGAAATCCAAGTAATCTGCGTAAGAATCTAATAGGGACTCAAATCTTGTCATTTGAACCTTCATGAGGTTCAACAAGTGGACTTGTTGGCTAAGAGTATCTGCCATCATGTTCTCCTTGCCTTTCTTGTGGCGAAGGACGAAGGTGAAGTCTTGCAAGTACTCGACCCATCGTACATGTCGATCGCTCAACTTTCGTTGAGAGTGTAGATACTTCAAGACCTCATAGTCTAAGAAGAGCACAAACTCTTTATAAAGGAGGTAATGGCACCAGTGTTTGAGAGCCTGAATGATGGCGTAGAACTCACGATTATAAGTGGAGTATCTAAGCCTCACGTCATTCAAATTCTCGCTAAAGACACCCCCAATATTGGCACCTGAGGCATCACAAGTGACCTCAAATACCTTGCCAAAGTCATGTAGGCGAAGTATCGGTGCTTGAGTGATAAGAGCCTTCACCCGATCAAAGGCTTGCTCAGCTGCCTCTGTTCAAAAGAAAGTCTCCTTCTTGAGACAATCAATAAGTAGAATGGTAACATAACTGAAATCCTAAATGAAGCGACGGTAGAACATTGCTAGTCCAATGAAGCTCTAGATGTCATGCATGCTACTTAGCTATGACCAGGTGGCTATCACTCGGACCTTTTCAGGGTCCATAGAAACTCCTCGCTCGGAGACAACAAAATCGAGGAACGTAACCTCAGAAGTAAAGAAACTACACTTCTTAAGATGGGCATAAAGCTTCTCTTGTCAAAGTGCCTCAAACACCTGTCATAAGTGCTCGAGGTGGGAGTTTGGGGTACCACTATAGATGAAGATGTCATTGAAGTATACTATGATGAACTTGCCAATGAACGGGCATAAAACCTCGTTCATTAACCTTTGAAATGTACTGGGCGCATTGGAGAGACCAAATGGCATGACCCTCTACTTGTACAAGCCCTTCTTGATCTTGAAGGTGGTCTTTCACTCATCCCCTAGACGTATCCTGACTTGATGATAACCACTACATAGATTTATCTTTGAAAAGATAGTGGCTCTTGCCACCGTGTCGAATAAGTCCTATAATCGTGGGATCAAAAAATAGTATTTAACCATTCTCCTATTGATCACATGATTGTTGCAACACATGTGTCAAGTGTCATCCTTCTTCGGCGCTAGAAATATAGGCACGACATAAGGACTAAGGCTTGGCTAGATGAGTCCCTTGTCCAAAAGCTCCTGTACCTATTGGCTAAGCTCCTTGTACTTGGCCGGCTCCATGTGATAGTGCGGCATGTTCGAGAGTGATGCTCTAGGAACCAAGTGGATAGCATACTGAATGTGTCTCAATGGAGGCAGCTCTCTAGGAAGCTCCTCTGGGAGTATGTCGGCGTATTCCAATAATATACCCTCGACTTCTAGAGAAGGTGAGGTAAGGGTCGTGTTGTCTCGCATATCCAAAGCGAGAGCAAAGCACATCGGAGATCCATCTATGTCTGATGTGATCTCATGCTAAAAGGCAGGTCTCTTCATCACAATTAACCCAGTACGTGACTTAGGGTCATACTTCGGCACGGGCTTGTTGGTATGCAGATACCAAACAAGTCGGCGATCTCGATACATGAAAGAGCAAGTGTTTGCTCTTCCCATGAGTTGGATGTCATAGTCAAACTATCAAGGCCATCCAAGTATGATGTTGCCGATTTTCATCAAAAGGACATCACACAAGATGTGCTCATCATAGGTGCTCACCCTAAGTGGCACGTGGCACTGTCGACGAATGAGTAGTGCAGCGGTGTCTATCCACAATATCTTGTAAGGGGCTAGATGACTAATAGTACTCAACCTTGCTCTTTGCAAGACTTGGTTTGACATGGCATTGATGCAACTACTACTGTCCACGATCACCTTGCACGTGTGTCTATTGATCTTCATGTAGGTGTAAAAGATCGACGTGCAAAGGGAATCGTTTGTCGTAGGCAAAGATGTGGGCATAGTTGTACTCGGTGCTGAGGTGATCTCTCTAGCTGCCATTGTGTCTAGCTGTGATGTAAGAACTGCATCTCGAGATGGACATTGGACAATGATGCTGACCAATCCCTTCAATGAAGTGCTTGTTGATGAGGCAACAAGAGAGACAACCTTAGTTGCTGGTACGGTGGCTGGCCGGATCTAGATGTAGCCAATCAAATCAAGAGTGTCATCACACTCCTCGGCCAAACCCTCGTTAGCAATGTAGACATCATCGCCTATGAGGACATCATCCTCGCATGAACTACTATCTAATTCTTTGATCTCTATGAGGAGATTCGAAGATAGGCATTGGCTCATCTAGTGCCCCTTACCCTTACACTTGAAACAAGTGATATGGGCTTGGGACGCGGCCGTAGCACGATCGGATGTGTCAGCTGGTGGCAAATGCAGGGGTGGTGTGAACCCTACTAATGTCACTAGTGTAGTCTGTCCGTTCTCTATGTTAGTACGCGTCAGTGTTGTTGTCAGTGTCTGTGCAGAGCACATGGACACAATCTTCATGGTGATCAGAGGTGGAGTGAACTGTATGTCCTCGGCGGGTCATTCCATATGCTCTACTATGTGGTAGACCTCGTCTACTTCAGACAAATTACCTTTCAGCACCTCATTCTGAAGTCGCAGAGTAAGTCTGTGGGTGAAAATGCTCAAAACCACACGTGAGTCCTCAATAAAGTGACACCTCATGCGGAACTCTTCAAAAGCCTAAATATAGTCTTGGACAGGCATCTTGCCCTATTAGAGGTCTAACCAATTGAGGAATAGCATCAACTCATATTGTCGAGGAACATACTTGTTCCTCAAGTGTGATGTCATATCAACCCATGATGTGATGAGCTGCCCTGGTTAGTGTGCCGTGTAGCTCTTGTTCTCTCAAAAGATCTTGGCCTGTCCACCAAGTCTCATCTCCGCATACTCTACACATAAATCATCATCCATATGATATCACTAGAAATACGAGTTCATACTAGACTCCCAATCTATGAAGTCCTTGGGCTCATAAGAGTCGTCAAAGACTACCACATCGGCATGCACACTTTTCAGTATGCGGGCCTTGTGATCTTTACGTCACCTATCTTGATCATCTAATCGATCAGCCCTATGGTCACCACCAAAGTCATGGTGGGGAGGACTCAGGTAACGCCCTTGATGGTAGTAATGATTCTGGTGGGCATCTCAAGGTGCTCGGTGAAAGTCCAAAGCATGCTGGTAGTCGCGGTAGGAATCATTGTGATCTTGTGGCTGATGCTCTATTCAGCGATTGAGCTCCTCTCGTCGAGAAGGGTCAGCTCTATAACCCAGAAGGTCTCTCCTGTCATGTTCCTAGTTGCGTTTGTGGGGTTGATAGTCATAGTGGGGTCGAGGTGGCGGTGGTGGCAGACATGGGAGATCGTCCCTATGAGCAGGGTAGACCAGCTCGTGGCGATCATAAGTATCCTATGGCCAACAACCGCCTAATTGATCGTGGCCATCGTCATGAGGAGGTGCATCGTGGCGACAAAGATTTTCTCGACGATGATCGTGATAGAGGTACTGGTGACCATATGGATCACTATAGGGGCTCACAACCTAACAGGGCTCGCGATGCTCCTGATATGCCTGTATAATAGGCGGTGCGGTCAGTGGTGTGATCGAGTATGTGACCGGCAATGGAGCTAGTGGTGGTGGGCCATGAGCTGCAGCTACAAAGGTAGCTCGCTTTAGACACTCAATAACCAGGATCATGCTACACACGACATCATCTGGGAGGGAGTGCACTCCATCCCTCAAAGGGTACTGAGGCGAAGGTTACCATCGGCCACCTCTGCCACAACCTCTAGTACTCTTTGGTGGATAGTAGGGTATGGATTCCTTCCTAGCTCAATGGCTCATAGCCGTGGGCAGCTGGGGCCGCCCTGATGCCTCTTTGACCGACATAAGGCTCAGAGTCTCCTAGGGTCGAGAGGGATCTAGTACCAAATCCGTCAGTCTCGACGGAGATGGTGGACTTGTGTCCACTCTAGCTACTTAGGGAGTAGCAGGATCTAAGGCCTCGCCCGAGTGTTGTGATGATGGTGAACCTCCTTGAGCTCTAGTTGAGCGTGTCTCTACTATGGCTGGGTTCTATGGGTGCCTAGATGCCAATGCAATCCTATATGAATGGTCTACTAGTGGTATGGAAGCTCGGTGAGCATCCTTAGGGGACCAAGGTTAGGTGGTAGCCCAACTTGACTCTGATACTAATTTGATGTAGGACGAAGGAGAGAACATTGTACTTGATCAATGAAACTCAAGACCTAGGATGAGATAGTCGGATCGATCTGATAAGAATGTATGGACCCTAGACTCTAGGTTTGACCACCTAACCTAAGTACAGGTAGGCATACCAATATGCACTATCAACCTAGGACAACTCGGGGAAATACTCGACGATGGTAAATGTGAGACCCTCTCGGTCCATATCCGAACATATGGCAGAACGGTCATCGTAAAGTAGCCTAGAGCTGCAGCTCATGAATAGTGATGAGTTTGACGCAGCGTCAAAAGTCACGATCCTATAACCCGTCCTATCTTGTCTACATTCTCTTGATGGCGGTGGAAATGTGCCAAGAAAATCCTTTGAAAGATAATTAAACTTAAGTAAGAAGAGGTACATAGCTAACCTTCGGGGCTGTGTAGCCTGACGGGTCGTGATGGAGTAGAGACTCGATGTCAGTAGAGATGTCTAGTGAAGAGCGACGCTTAGTGTCAACAATTAGTTCTAGTCGAGAGTCATAGTAGTCATCATCGTAAACATGGGCCTACTAGAGGGCCGAAGGGTACGCTAGCGGGTGCACACGGTAAGTCGTGCGGCGTGCCTTGGGGCACACAAGTGGCGGCGCCAAGTGGGTGTGTGGACCACAGGAGCCGATGCGCAGGGCACGTGCGGTAGTGGCGATTCGACGAGAATGCCAAGCATCAACAATTGGGCAGAAGTGCAATTGAGGGGAGCCACGAGTAGGGGTTTGAGTGGCTAGGACAAATGGGGGCATGCATGTGCCACTCCCTTTCTATGTCACTAATGGCTAGTCGGTTGTGGGGTAAGGAGTGGTCATACACATGAGAGAAAGGGACTCATTAGTTCTAAATATAATATTACTCTATATTCATCCAAAACTTCGACGCACAAGTGATGTGAGACTAAACCCACATCACACCTTCCCTCGAAAGGCTTCAAAGATTTAAATAGCCAAACTATCTGTTCATTATAATAGAGATATACCATGATGACGTCATTCGGTAAAGGTATTAAAGTATTTATTTCAATCTCTCTCATGTAGGTAGGCAATTGACATAGGTTTTAATCCTCCTAGAGCCAAAACTCGTATTTTTATCTGATTATCACAACTTTCCTATAGATCTCTAATGAAGGATTAAGCTGCTAGAATCACTAGATCATTAGCAAAAATCTTGTCAACACGATTCACAAAGTATTATTACTAAAATTACTAAATAGTTTGTGATAAAAAGATCGTGAATTTATTGAATAAACCATCTCCAATTGATCAATGAACAAGTTATTGTCAGGAAGAGGATGATCCGTCAGAAGACGAGTCGCCACCTCTTAAGAGCATATCACATGCGATGAAGAGCTTCTTCTTGTTGCACGGACCTAAGGATGAAGCTCTCTAACACACGCCCCACCTCCATCCACCTCCTCTCCCTCGAGTGACAGTCGTTAGAGAGCTATAAAGTCGTCGTTTTTCTACTCCATTGAGTGACAGCCGCTAGAGATGATTTGACGACCTATTTCATTGATCTCTAGACTTTGCAAGGAGATCTAGAGACTGCCCATGTCAACCTTGTCTAATAAGAGCCTTCGAGATTATAGACATTACACGACAATTCTCCCAAATGTTTAGGACTCCGGTGCATCACTGATGCATCACCGCCGCAACACCAGAATTTTATTTTTCTACTTTCAACTTAATTTTTATTTTATTTAGTGATAATTTATGTGATTTAAATTTACCAATCCATACTTCTTTCAATTATGATTCTTCTAACTTTTAAGGATCTTAATTTGATTAATTAAATTATTATAATTACTTACATAAGAATTATCAAGTAGAACTCTATTTCTGCCAAATTCATGTTCATCAAGTGCTAATGTCATCTTGACGTCCACACCCTTATTTTCTTTTTTTGTGAATTTTAAATATATTTTATTTTCATTTCTTAGTATAAAATTTATAAAAAATAGTATTCTTTGAGGAAAATTTAAATACTTACCCAGTATTATATTATATTCCTATGATCAACTTGAAAGATTACCATTATTTTTGAAAGTTTTATTAAATTATAATTAATATATTTATTTAGAAATATTTTTAAATATTTGAAAATAGTATTTTCTAGTTTTATAAATTTTAAATTTATGTGATTACTATACAACGACTAAGTCACGTCATTTTGTGAATTGTGTTGATGAGATTTTTGCTAATGATCTATCAATTTTAACACTTATTCCTTCACTAGTAATTTGTAAGAAAGTTGTGATAATTAAAATCTTAGGTATTAAGTAAGGGATAGTTTACGTATTAAAATCTTCAAAGTCTTTTGAAGGAAGGTGTGATGCAAGTTTAGTCTCACATCATTTGTGTGCCAAAGTTTTGAGCAAATATATAGTAATATCACATTTGTAAGTAATGAGTCTCTTTCTCTAGTGTGTATGACCACTTTTTGCCCTACAACAAATTACCCACTAGTGACATAGAAGGAGAGTGGCGCATTTGTGCCACCATTAGTCCTAGCCACTCGAGCCCCTACTCGTAGCTCTCCTCGACTACGCTTTTACCTCACTTGCAGGCTTGGCTGGCTGATGGGTCCCCCCCTTTTGCTATATTTTTATTCTAATTTTTTTTCTTTATTTATCTTGAAAATAGACTATAAAAATTATATAAATTCGTCAAAAATCATATATTAGCTAAAAATTTACATTAATC